AAAAAGTCAGAATTCTGACTTTAATCTCAGAGTTCTGACTTTTCTCTCAGAATTCTGACTTTTTTATTGTCAGAATTCAGAGAAAAAAGTCAGAATTCTGACTTTAATCTCAGAATTCTGAGAACAAAGTCAAAATTCTGAGAAAAAAAGTTAAACTGAAATACAATTTAAAAATCAGTTAACTTTTTTTTTACAGTGGCCCTAATCTTCTTCCGTATCTTCTTTTTCTCTGTCTTTAAAAAAATATCCTAATACAGTACATTTAGAGTGTTAAAGTTTTGAGCCAAATTGCATAGATTAGATCTTTCTATCAGCAACAGCTCTCTTCTTGCCACTTGTCCATAAAGGTCATGTGTAAGGCTATCATAGAAAATCTTAATAAAACAAGGCCTACCTTGGAATTTTTAGGTTTAAACGTGACAAAATGCCACATGCCTCCTTTAGCAAAGGACCATTCTTATTGTAGTAATCCATATTTACTTTCCCATGTGTCTAAAACATACATGGATATGCTGTGCGTCAAAAAACTATTATCTTTCTATGATCCGACTTCTGTTGTTGTATTTTCACTTATGACTTTATTGACATGTCAAGTTCTCTCTCTTCTCATCATGTGCTCAAAGCTCCCAGTGCGTCGAGGCGCAACAGAACAGAGACCATTAATAACCACGCTTGAATAAGCAGCTTTTTTTTTTCGAAGACATGGGTATCTGTTTCCAGCAGCACCTCTCTCCCGCTCAGAGGTGAATCTCCACAGCCGCCGTCGCTCCTGCGTGTCCTTTAACATCCCCGCGCTCTCCAGCTGGAGACAGTCGCGGCGCGCGCCACACCAGGAGCGCATCAGAGCCTCGTCGTTTCTCTCTTTTCTTTTTACGCAACTCGTTAGGGGATCATGAGGGGAAACATTTCAACTATCGAAACCAGTAAGGCACGGTTATGAGGAATACCTTGACGTGAGGAGATAAACAGACATAAACTCGGAAGAAGTGCCGCATATTTTCTGACCAATGCGATTCAACCCAGCCACAGGTAAGATGTTTTTTTTTTTCTTTTCTTTTTTAGTCAGTCTGCATAAATATAGCAGTATAGTTAAATATAGCAGTTTAGTGGACAATTTTTTTTACTA